AATTAAAGCTGGAAAAGTTATGTAAAATTCCCTGTTTAAAGCTGTTGTGTAAACACACCTATATGTGTGGTGTAATAAATGACATGCTGTACTTCTTTTCCCGGTTTAGTTTGGCTTAGGAGAATTGTTTATTTTTCCAATGACAGAATGATTTAAGTTTCCATTTAAGTGTTTCATTTCCATTTAAGCGAGTGCATTTGTATTGTAAATATGTTTGTATATAGCTATTATTACACATTAAATGTTGTTGAAAATGAATGCAATAAAAATTTAGGTGTTGATATTTTGGGATTGACTGATTTCAGATTGACTGATGCTGAGCTTTGTTTGCAGATTAGCTTTTTAGACAACCTACAGTATCTGGATTATAGCGTGATGATAACTCTGTATTTATAACTCTCTGCTAAATGCTGCCACCTGCTGACATCACATCAATGTACTTTTTTATGGCTCTCTCAAACTGATTTAAATACCGTAGGTACGTAACCTTGTTTTATATTAAAACAGTGTTATATGCCCACTTTACAGTAAAACACACACACACACACACACACACACACATACATAATAAAGTCCCCAAGTAACAAATGTGTTTTGAGATGTAGCTTAGACTAGAGAGTTTTAGATTGGTAATGTAATGGCTAAACCACTTTCTTATCAAAATCAAAAATAAAACAAGGGCAAAGCAAGAAACTCAGAACTCCAAACAAGAACCTTAACAAACATTCAATACTAGACAAAGACACAGGGCAAACATGAGGGCTTAAATACACAAATTACAAGACAAAGAACACCTGTGAACAATCAGGGCCTGGGCCATGAGGCGAAAGAAGGCCTGGAGACTTTGGGAGGACGGGAGGCCAGGGCGGACCTGACAGTTCAGAGGCCCAGGGCGGATCGGGCGGTTCAGGGGTCAAGGGCGGATCTGACGGTTCAGGGGTCAAGGGCGGATCTGACGGTTCAGCGGTCCAGGGCGGATCTGATAGTTCAGGGGCCGTTAATAGGGCAGATCTGATAGTTCAGGGGCCGTTAATAATATTAAATAGTGTAAATAATAAGATGTTTATCGCTTAGGGTTGTGGTGTAGGGACGGCTTTATTGTATTTAATAAGATGGTAGGCCTGTCCATTTTAATAAATAGATTAATTTACACTGTTATTGCACAACAACACTGAGGTGCAACTACTATTTATAAGTATAATAGCATCTAACTACTACACGTATTGCAAAGGAAATGCCATTTTTACATAGTTTTAATAGAATCTATCGCTATTCTCACTTAATGTAATATTAGCCTACACGTTGGAACGTTGTTGCTGTTCACGGTCAGGGACTATTTTTTCTAGCGGAAGGAAGGCTTTTAGTGATTTTACTTTATGAAAGTTGCACTAATACATTTATTTATTTATTTTTTACTTTAATATTTGTATTGTGTGGTAACCTATCAAAGAAAGGAGATTTATTAGGTAAGCAATGAAGAACTCGAGTCAAGTGTGCTGTATCTTGAATAAGTACGGCTGAAGGGCGTTGTTAGACACGAGGCGAAGCGGAGTAACCCATTCTATTGCTTACATAATAAATCTCCTTTCTTTAATAGTTGGTTTAAAAATTGAATTATTTTTGTATCTCAACTTTTCAATCAAAATGGTTCAATTAGTAATTATTCTGAGGTCTTATAAAGCATGGCATTCCTGTTACTCCAAAAGAGTTTTATTCATGATGCTGTGCAAATGCTTTTTAAAGTTTTTATTTATTTTATTTTATTTTTTTTGTCATCTCTTTGTCACTGTGGATCTGTTTAAGACATTTAGGTAAACATTTCCTTGCTTCATCTAAATAAAAAATAAAAAAAAAACAATAAGAAGATTTAATTCTTCAGGAGGAGTCAGATTTTATAAGTAATTTCTTACTGGATTGGGTTTATAAGTGACATTCCCAGGAAAAATAGCTTGGACATTACCTCACAAATAGCCTACCTGAACTAACAAAATTAGAGAAATTACCTTTAAGTTCATTCATAGGTTTTACCCAGTGCTCGCTCTAAAGACTTAAACATGATATTAATACCCTTTGTTCTTTCTGTTTAGAGAAATCTGATACTACTTTACATTTATTTTGCAACTGCTCTCTCACAAAGAGATTTTGGTGTGATGTCTGTGATTTTATCAAATGTTATGTAAATCCTAACTTTGAATTTACATATAGAAATGTTATGTTTGGTTTTCATGAATGTGTTAAGAAGAATATTTTTATTTTATAACCCTTATTTCTCTGTTAGCTAAATGCAATCCTATCTTTTAAGATTTAAACTTTAAATAAAAATGTATTTATCTAGTCTTGACACTTATCTGGACCGAAAGACTGAAGGACTGTGGAGTTGTATTATGTTATGACAATGATGATAATTTTTTTTTTCAAGCATTTAAAAAGAAAAAAAGAAAAAGAAAAAAGATAACTTACTGAAGCTCATGAATATTTAATGCGCTCAAATGTTCTGGTCAATCACTGCAACGTCACACCCGCAGTATCCAATCAAACAGCCGCAAGCTGACATTCCGGAAACCGCGAACCAATGAAAACAAGCAGGGAACTTGCACATTAGGGGTAATCATGTGTAAAGAGAATAATAGTGCCTGTCGAAATCACCAACAGAGAAGTAGGTCAAGTTGCGGTGCTTCAGAGAGATTTAAAACATCCCACCACGGTTATCCTACGCAGTTTTATTTACGTTAAAACATGGAGAAGAAACAGACCATCAATTTTGGAGCGGGACCGGCTAAACTTCCACAGTCGGTAAGTGCATCGGCAATTTAGGAATGTTTATTTATTCTTTATATATACATTTTTGATTAAAGTTTTGCTTTTGTCATCGCGTTTGTAAAGTAACGTAAGCAGTGCTGCGTGACATCATATCAGTACGCAGTATGATTACATCATCTGATTAGTGTGCATGCATGCACACTTTTGTAACTGTTGTGTGCATGCAAAACTGTTTTATGATAACGTGCTGTAGTGTGCAAAATGTGGAATGCAGGCTTTGGGTGCACTGTAAGCATTAAACCAATGCTATTGGCAGGTTTTCTGGTCTAGATGCATGTATTTCTATGCAATGTTGCATCAGCCACAACTTGGCATTCAGAGTCGCCTGTGGACTGAAGAGTGCCAACTCACTAGACATGCTTTACGTTATACATTCAAACTCTCGATTCAGAGATCATACACATGCCACAATAAAGTATTGCAAGGACTTGGTAAATACTTTTGTTATGAAAAAAAATGTAAAAAATGTTATTCTGCGTGTCTCTGAATATGTTTGTAGATTGAATGAATCCTTTGATTCTAATCAGTAGCTTGCCTTTTCTCATTAGATAAGTAACCTAACTCTCTAACTGTGAATGATGTGGTTGTTTACTCCGGAAATTCAGGTTTAATCGACTCTGCAGTGTCGGTGTGACCCGTTTTGAGTCCTTGCCACATTATTACTCAGTTTGAGGATGCTAACCGCACCCCCACCCACTCGACAATGAGGAATGCACCCTAGTGATGGGGAGTCGACTCCAAAAGACTCGATTCTTCGACTCTTAAAGTGACAATTCACCCAAATATGAAAATCTGTCATAATTTCCTCACCCTTAAGTTGTTCCAAACCTATATTAATTTCTTACTTCTGAACACAAAAGAAGATATTTTGAAGAATATGTGTAACCAAACAGTTGATGGCCACCATACTATTGAAGTCAATGGAGTCCATCAACTTTTTGGTTACTGACATTCTTCAAAATATTTTCTATCTAAAGAAAACGATGGCTCATAATTTCAAGGTAATGCCAGTCACGCCAAAAGCGTGTTGTTTTAATAGTGGCTTAATTATTAATAATTATTAACCTACCCCTGATAGCACACGTACATCACAGAGACGTCTATTTGAGGTGTGTGTTAACATCTGGAAGAGCCAAAACTGTTTTAATATAAAAAGTTATTTTTCATCCCTAGGTTTTAAGCCAAGCACAGAAGGAGCTCCTGGATTACAGCGGCACTGGGATAAGCATTCTTGGTAATGATCTGCATTATAAATATATATGCTTACATATGCAGTCTAGGTGTTTATGTCTCTTTATATCTTATCCAGAAATGAGCCACAGGTCGTCCGATTTCACCAAGATCTTAAATAATGCTGAAAACCTTCTCCGTGAGCTTCTGTGAGTGTTTATCTTTCATGAAACAATCCCTCATTTGGAGATTAATGTCTTTTTTTCATTCATATTCCATAACAAATGTACATGTTGTGTTCACGCTGAATAGGAACGTACCTGAAAACTATAAGATACTGTTCCTGCAAGGTGGAGGCTCGGGACAGTTCAGTGGCGTTCCTCTGAATCTGATTGGTCTGAAAGAGGACAGGTGTGCAGATTACCTGGTGACGGGGACGTGGTCTGCGAAGGCGGCCAAAGAGGCAGAGAAGTATGGGAAAGTGAACGTGATCCATCCAAAACTGGATAGTTACACCAGTGAGTAATCAGAGTATAGCAAACGGGTTTTAATTGCTTTGTTGCTGCATTTACACTGCAGGTCTTGATGTACATATCCGATTTTTATGACCATATCCAATTTTTTTCAGTAGCACCTCATTTCATTACACGAGATCCAGAGGGCAGAGATGGGTAAGATTAGGGGTGGGGTTAGGGATCAGGGGGTGGAGATGGGTGGGGTTAGGGATCAGGGGTGGACATGGGTAGGTTTAGGGGTGCGGTTAGGGATCAGGGGGTGGAGATGGGTAGGATTAGGGGTGGGGGATCAGGGGTGGAGAGGGGTGGGGTTAGGGATCAGGGGGTGGAGATGGGTAGGATTAGGGGTGGGGGATCAGGGGTGGAGAGGGGTGGGGTTAGGGATCAGGGGGTGGAGATGGGTGGAATTAGGGGTGGGATTAGGGATCAGGGGGCGGAGATGACGCATAAATCGTTATATTCAAGATACTTGACTGCATGTTAATTGCAATTAAATAAAAATGTAT